GCCAAGCTTGATGTTGTCATTATTAATAATAAACATTGAATGAAAATTAAACTTACATTCATTTTTTATCTACAGTAGTTCGATTGAAAACCACATCATCTCTAGTAATAATAATGAATTTCGCGACTAAGAAAAAGTATTGTTTCGTCTATGAGCTCGACAAAAACGTATTTTTTAAAAGAAACACGTCGTATTTTTCCGATCGAGCTCATCTATCCTTCGATTGCTATACATGTTTAGTAACAAAAAGCTTTTTTATTGAAATTTAAAAAAACATGGCTGAAATTTAAACTTAATTATACAAAATTTAAAAAATCTGTTCTTATTTAGCTCCATTCGACTTTATTTCATCAGTCAGTATCTATTGTTCATAAATAGGAATTATTTCATTATGATAAATGTCAGTGAACAGATTTAACATTAATAATAAAAAGTCTCGTCGATATGCCTAGACAATCCGGACAACATATTCCATCTGCCCATCTATGCACTGTTGAATGAAACGGTTTTGCTTTCGTTTGATTTCTCCTAGAGTGAGTTTATCCGATATTGGCGTCTCTAGACGACGTACTTCGATAACCTGGTAGAACTTTTGATCGACGTTTAATAGAGCCGATAGTGTGTGTCGGCAAGCTTCGACAAGAGCCCACACTTCATGATAGCTTTGTCCAACTGTTATCATTCGTTCAGCGGTAGTAAATGAATTGGCATTGACATAAGGTTCTTCCTCAACTGTTGGCTGTCGTTGTACTGTACCGGGATCACCAATAGGAGCCATTCGTATAGCTTCATTCAACGTCTCGAAAATTAATTTTCGTGATTGCATAGCAATATCTTTGCTTATGTATGGCAATTGAGTTTAAAAAATTCTTCAATAAGAATATTCCTTATATCGTAGTTTTTATCAGTGTAATGCCATGTGACGGCCCAACGTGGCACCTGTTTCAGTACTACTCTACCATAGGCGTTACTTCCTCTATAAAGAGGTAATGGACTCGTATGTGCATTGATCTTAATCGAGCGATGAGTAAGAATTGATTCAGTTAGTTTGTAAGGAAAATTCATCGAGATGATGAGATCGGGATCGAATGTATTAAGAAAAGGAACTAATTGCGAAATACAACGTATTGTTACGGTTGGCGGTGGATCAATCACACTTGTATATATCATTCGTATGCGTGCTGTGAGATCATCGTAGTTTTTCTCGTTCAATGAATGATTGTAACCAAGGGCTGTAACTAGAAGAATTAGTTGATGACTGGTCTTGAAAATACAATCGATTAACTGAAGCAAGGATTCACCATTCATACGAGAAAGCAGAATAATCTTCTTCAGGCACAATAAAGTCGAAGGAGCTGATGGAAGTGTAACTATCATCGTCTGATCAGCTGCCATCGTTTCTAATAATGACAAACAAGGTGAGCACCGAATTTTCTAAGTTCTGAAAAGCACAATCTTAAGAATGTCAAGTAAGTCATTGAACAATTCCTGGAGATTTTATTTCGAACCTTGTGAATAGTTCTGCTCTTATGCCTTTTTTTGAAAACTAGATCAATCTGTTTACTTGACAGTGATGTAAAGATGTCTATAAATCGCACGACAGAAGCATTAGTTAATCTACGAAAGTGATACTTTTTCAAAAGTTGAAAATGTGCACAAACTCCAACGACAATAGAAAAAAACAACATTTTAATATGATTTCTTCGATGCTATCGAGAATTTTTGCGATGAATCGGATGTTGGATGAAAGAGAAACAGTCGAAGATTTACCAGTTAGTGATAGGTCGGGAACTGCATTTTTAGAAGAGTAGCTGGGATATTATAGAAATGGTCACTTGCAGTCCAAGTATATCTATTTGACAAGAGACTGCGCAGGATAATATAAATGAATGGTGAAATGGATTAAAGTCCAATATGAAGAATAAAACGAATTTATGCCCGAGATTTGAGGGACAAATGAAAGGATACCGAACGAGATACAGAAAAACCGTTCTCTCATCGATCTCTGAATTTTCAATGAAAGTATTAACTATCAATACTATTTAAAGTGATCACCAAAACCGTGTATATATATTTCATGATGCCAAGCTGAACAAGAAAAGGGGACTACGACCAAAAAATGATCACCTTCATGATCTATAACCATTTTAGATGTGTTAATTGAATATACATTGGCAAACGAATTCACTCTCGTCATTGGACACTTACCTTGAGTTAGTACTCTTTTGTCTCCTTTTCAAGGTTGATATTCATATGAAACTATTCTTTCAGCTTTGCTCTCTTTCCTCGTTTATGCGTTGTCGTCGTTATCTTTATTTGAGTGACTGTTGGTTGCCTATTCACCTCTCACCATACTAAGCCTTGATAAATGATTACAGTCGAAAAATAAATAACAATAAACGTTTGACATATATGGTATTCAGAGAAAAATTGTCACATTATTTGTTATTTCGTTGACCGTGGAAAAGCGGTAAACTCTAAATTTTACGTGAACAAGAGAATTTTGCTTGAAAACCAAACTTGACAGTTTTGTGGAGTAAAACATTCTGTATCAAAACTTCATTGAACATTCTTTAAGATAGACTAATTTACTCATGCAACATATTTGATTATGATATTTTTGATTTTCATTAGAGGAGTAATGAAATCGAATGTCAATATATTCCCTTTTTAATTTCTTCAAAACTCTGCTTTGCCGCTCCAGTTTAATATCCTTTTCAACAATTATTTTCAGATAATACATTAACATATTCTATGAATTAGTTTAGGATTAATGAGACTATGAGCTGGAAACAGACTTCAAAAATCTAAATTAAACAGGAAAAACTCAGAAACTACGAAGAACGTGTACGAAGAATATTATTGACACATGCGACACAATGTGAGCCACGGGTGGCTCACGACAAAAAAAATTGAATATCTCCACTGTATTTTAACCAAAATGAGCTGGTTTTTTGTGGATGATAGAGGAATGTCAATAAAAGCCATGATAAGGTATTACAATTGGCTTTAAAAAAGAAAACGTGACCTCCTATAGATTTAAAAAAAAACTATATAGATACATGACAACTTTGCATTGTAATAGGTTTAGTTTTATCTACAACATATAATACTAGGAACATCCCATTATCATTTGAAATAAATATTAGTTTAATTTATCAGAACTTGCGTGAATATATAAGAGTTTACTTATCCGAAGAAACTTTAAGACTTCAGAGATGTAATTGTATTATTTCTAAAATTGCCGAAAGTTACTTTTCCTTCTTAAAGTCAATTATAATACTTTAACATAGTTTTAATTAACATTTCTTTTATAAATAAAAACTTTAAACATTCCTCTATTATCAACAAAAAAACCAGCTCATTTGATTAAAATACAGTGGAGATATTCAACTTTCTTTTTGCCGTGGTTCACCCGTGGTTCACATTGTGTCGAATGTATTAATCGTATCTGAAGATAATTTTATCTGTTGTTTGTGATGTTACATTGATGGTAAATATAAAATCGGTTTTCATTTCTCTCAAACCGAACCGAACCTATCTCTATAACATTAATCGATTTGGATTAGGAATATGAGAAAAACGTTGATCAAGTCGATAACAAGTCATTATTTGTTGATGAAAGCAAACGTGATTTGTTTCAAATTTTTCATCGGAATAAGTTTCATTCATATAAGTTAATATTTTATCGAGGAGTTTATTCTTCCAAAATGTTGGTATTACACTTGATATAAGTAAAATCGAATAGACAACAAAGACAATTTTTTCGCAAACTGATTCGATTGTTTTGAAACTTGAATGAAATATATATGATTCTAAATTAACGCTAGAATTAGATATTGAGACAAAAATATCAATTGATGTCATAAGATTTAATCGATCCTACATGCTTAGAGCATAGGTATCTGTATTTTATATTCTCAAATAACATCCATTTGTATTTTATGCAAATAAGAGTTTGTCATATTAGTAATCGACATAGTATGACGTGTAGTATATCGAGTCAATTACTGGTTTGAAAAATACATCACAATCTAATCTAAAATACTTTATCTTCAATCAGAACAGCAAGTAAATATTTTGGAGGACAAATTAAATGATTAATATAAAATGTTGTGTTCGGTAACTATCATGTTTGCTTAGTAAATTAATAATTTATGGATGTGGAATTGAGTGTAGAGTGTAGGGTGTGAGTGCTACTGACAATAAGGTGGAATTCGACGGTCCCAAAAAGGTAGAGCCGAGAACCTTGGAAAAATCACTTGAAAATCGTTAAATCATCAGATCGATAGAAAAATTCTTAAATCTATGGCGAGAAATTTTCATTTTGTTTATCCTTGAGATTAAAGATTTTAGTATATATGTAAAATATTGTTTTCTTTAATATTGAAATATGTGACGTATTTAATCTCAATAATTCAATAGTGAAAATTCCTCAAAATATATTTAAAATTTTTGTGTCTGTCTGATGATTAACGGTTTCTATTCCATATGGTAATTTTGAGAACTGAACCGGAATCGTTTTTTTCTTCTCATTTTTAGTAGCTGGAACTGCAGTCGGAAACGCGGTTTCGGTTCCAGATAATTTTTGAAGCCGTCGAGTTATACCGGAACGCCGACATCCAAATCCTTAAATGCTGAATGTTTTTTAAAATAATTACTAAGCATTCATTATAAAATACTGAGCAATTAAACACAAGTCGACATTTTTCATAAATAACTTCGGTGTAGAGAGCATTTTAACTCAATCAATGCAAAAAAAATTATCATACATAAAGGTTTTCTAATCTGATTCTGCCATCTAATTTTCTCTCACTCTATTTGATCGAATACATTCGCCAATTGGAATTTTTTTTACTATTCTATTATCGTTATCGCATACAATATGTATTCTCTATATGCCAAATAACAGTCAGTATGTGTCATACGCAAATAAAAGAAATGTATATGGGCTTTTTTATGTGAAGTCAAAAAGTCTGTTCGAATAATTAAAATATTCAATGAGTGATACAACAGAAAATTTCGAATTTGTTGAAGAAATAGTCTCATCAGATTCTTCCGGTGACAAGAAATATGTGATCATCGATTGGTATTTACAACAACATGGTAGTTTTAGTAGCCTGGGTCGTTGGCGAGATATTTCACTAAGACATTTTTCATCTACTAAACAATTGATAGATTATTTATGTGAATATATTAAAAAGAATTATCAACATGTCAATATCGATGATAGACAATATAATGTTCTTGATCTCTGTCGAATCGCTATTGATGAATCAAATAAATTATTAGTCTGTAACAGTAATGAAATTTCTCGAGTAACCAGTCGTCATATTTGGCCACCAAACCATAAACTATTAATGGGATGTTTTGTAGATGCGCATATTGTTGCTACATGTCATGATAAATATACAACAAATCCACAAACAAAATCTGAAGAACAGGAAAATAATGATACTAATTATTGTTTGATTACTCAATTAGGAAATCATCCTACAAATGTTAAATTTTTACGTGGTACTAACTCTTTACGAGAAGAATTTCTGGAAAGATTTAAACATCCATTTTTAACGAGTTCAAAGCCTACCCAAGAACAAAATAATTTATTTATTCAAAAAAGTCAAATATTATCAATACAACAATTTTGTAATCATGTAACAAGCCGAGATTGGTATGATATTGGTGATGAGTTTTTGTACGGTGTTATTGTTGATTTTATTATTGCTGGTGAAGTCTTATTATTTAACGAACAAATCATATAAATTTTATTTAAATCTAGAATAATATTCATCTTAGATGAATAAAACAACAGATAAAATACGTCTTCATTTAATCGAAACTCTGACTAAATATGTATATTTTCTTGTCTAATATGAATTATAATTTATTATCTTTGTTTAAGACAATGAAAATGTCTATGTTAGAAGTTTTATAATGAAGTAAGTTTAATTCATGGAAATATTGGTTGTGTTTCTCTCAATTGAATAATATGAACTTTATTTCCTGGATCAAGACAACCGATAATCTCAAACTGACATCTCCAGGAAGAAGCAAAATTTCATCTTCATCTGCATAAAATGAATGTGATCGAATATTTTTTCCTGAATCACATTTAATACTGAAAAGAGTTCTTATTCCATTTTTACCTAGGAAACGTTCATTTTTAAGTGTTTCAATCGACAATGTGCATGAAGAGAAACCCCACCAAATAATTGTACTTCCTCGACTATATTGAGTAGCGTAATCTAATTTGACACCTTGATAAAAAAGAGGACGAGTTGATGGAAGTTTTTCAAGGGTGTTGAAAATGAGTCGAAGATATGACAACTACGGTTTCAACTCTTCTCGACTTGCTGCTCGTAGAGCAGTATTCAATGTAACATAGAAAGATTTCTCGTATGGTTCCCATTCCATTGTATAAAGCATAATTGATGCTGACTTGTCACTGGCTAAACCATTGTTTTGGATCACTGCAATTCTGTTTAGCAATCCAGGCCACTTGTTCGAGGTCTGCCCATGTGAAAATTTTTGCCTTTGTAAGCTCTTTTCAAGCGACTTGAATAAGCTTACACTGTAGTTAAGTGCTTTAAAGCGCTTAAACATTGCGGTTTTCAGCTGCTGAAAGCGGCTTTAATCAACTAAGCCGCTTAATATAGTTTAGAATGGGCTTTTATAAGCGCTTGAAAGCGCTTATCATGAAAAGCGTTGAAAAGCGCTGTAAATTTTTATATTTTTAAGCGCTTTCTAGCACTTATCACGAAAAGCGCTGAAAAGTGCTGTAGATTTTTATTCCTTTAAGCGCTTTCCGACGCTTATGACGAAAAGCACTTTTAGGTGCTGTAACCTTTCTTACTTCTAAGAACTTGACAACACTTTACATGAAAAGTGCTGACAAATCCTTCATATGGGTGTGTGGGTGTGGGTATGGGTATGGGTTGTGTGTGGATAGGTGTGGATAGCAGTCTTGTTTTCACTCACACCCACATCCACACCCGACCACGATCAGCCATTTCTCAACGTTCTACATACACCACTGCAGTCTAGTAGTTTTCTCAAATTTGAGCACCACAATCTGCGCAGACTACAGACTTTAAAAAAGCGCACTAAAACTTGTTAAGATTTCGTAATATCGCGATTTTAACACTATATTATCGTTAAAGTGTCGTGGTTACGTAAGTTTAAAGAATTTATAATGCATTAATACATCTTGAGCCCAATAAAATGCATCATTTTTTCGAAACCTACGCGGATATTGTCGTAGTCGATATTGATCCCACGCGTTGAATCGTGCCCATAGAACTCAATATATTTTTATGTTATGTCTAATAGGCAACTTAAAATATTTTATTGCCACTGATTGACTACATTCACTCTTGGTTTATTACAGCTCCCGTTTTAAACAGAAAATCGCGCTTTTATATAAATTGATGATCTAATGAATGTTTATATGTAGATTGTTGATTCGAAAGCACCACGTCTAACATTTATGCGACATATAAGGTGTCTATGTCTGACCTGATTTCTGAGC